TTTCCCTGTCTGTTTCTCCAGCAATGACTCTGTCCTGAAGTTTTCAGAGATCAGAAGAGAGGCCTCATTCAAGCACTATCAACATAACTCAAGTGGTGGTATTGATACTGAGGTTAGCAAGAAACACCGTACATCAATATGCAATTAAAAAAGTTGATCCATTACCTTTCTAGCCTTTGCATGGTCATGGCTAGTGTTTTGTTCAGTTCCTCTATCATCCGGCACCCTGAAGGGTGAATGGGCAACGTGCTGGACCACGTGCTGGCCCCAGAAGGTAGGTGCTGGCTGTGGCTGCCGTACTGGAGCTGGTGCTGGTGAGCTGCTAACTGGGATGGCAGGACAGTGTGATGGTGCTGGGTCAAAGGCTGCTGGGAGCTCTTCTGAGTGGAATAGGATGAGAGAGAGAGGTCTGGCCCCCCTAAAGGCATGCAAATCATGACTTTCTTTGGAGGTAGTGGAGGTGACAGTTTAACTGGCATACAAGGCAGTTTCACAGGAGCGCCAGGATCTAAAACAGAAGAAAGAGAGGCCCTGGTGTTAATTTTCACGTCAATAACATGGAGATCAGAGTACCTGCCTAGGCGAGTAGGTACTGAGGTTGCCAGTGAACTCTGCATAGCGTGTGCTCACCATGGTCTTGAGAAACAATACTGTTGTTTTGCAGCCCTTCTAAGTCTCACAAAAAACATCCCAGGGCTGTGCATGCCCCTTAATAAACACATTAGCGATACTTAACAAGGCTTGTGACACACTTTGATGCTTTAAAGCCCTAATCCTCCAAAACAGCCCTGTGAGGTAAGTGTAATTTCTCCCACGCAACAGGCATGTAAGAAGGTGGGGAGAGCAATTCCATATCTGAAGTTACAGGATGACTCACCACCATCAGTGCTGGAGCAAAAGCTCAGCTCCTGATCCTTCTCAGCCACTGCAGTGCAATTATTACAAGTCACATTACTTACAGCTTTGTAATGTGCAAAACATCGTGTGCTAAAAATTACATTACAGGCATGAGAGAAAAGAAATAGTGTTTTAATATTAAACAGTAGTGGTCTGGAAAACAAATGGTACAGGAGAAGAAGATGGTAAAGGGCAGAAGATTGTTAGATTAATGTATTCTTTTACAGAAGACTTGGCAGGCACTTTTCTCTGAACTCATGCATTGAATTTTAACCTTTTTAACTCTAGGCATGTTCACTGAATTCCATTGTTGTCCTGCCAGGCAAAGACTTCCATGAGAAATCAATGAGAGGTCCACAAGCAAACCTCTCTGTCAAGGCTCAACTGCACAATGGAGATTTTTGGAGATAGATACACTGCGAAATATTTTCAGAAGGGAGAAAAATTATGGGAGGGCTTGTAGTTCCCCAGATGAGTGTGGGAAATGGTCACAACACACACTAAGCTGCAACTCACAGTTGTGAGTTTGTGTTTAGGAGGAAAGTCAGGCCATTTCCAGCCTGGATGACTGCAGACATTCGGCTCTGCAATGCAGCTTTGTGGCAAGGATTGCATGATCTTTGGCCTCTTGTTACTTCAGTCCACTCTTCTCGTTGTAACATGGTAAGGGAACTGAAGGGCCAGAACCTTCTTTTGACCTGAGAAAACTTGAGAGTAAAATGCTGCTCTCCAGCTTTCACAGATCATCACCCTCCTGAGTGATACCAGATTTCTGAAGTCCTTTTCCAGATGGTTCTTTCTAGTATTAGCTATTCCTCCCCTCACTCTCTTTATTCTTTCCTCCCTCCTGGTCTATTCTGGGTATTGCCTGCACTAGTATCCATACCCAGTAGCCAGGGTGCACAAGGGTGATATTAGGACTTCCAAACACTTCTTGAAAATGATTAAGGACAGTAATATGGAAAAGGACCATGCATGGGGCCAGGCTCAGATATGTCATTAGACTTTTTTTTAGTGCTAGTCATAGCTTTATTGCACCCACAGTATCCACTTGATACTAGTGGTTTTGCTATGCTAGAAAGTAAGACAGTAAGTCTTCCCTTTCTTCAATGGGCTTATAGGCTAGTGACATGAGGGAGGCAAAGGGTGTGTAAAATCAGACAGCGGCATGGAGAGAAAATGGTCTTTCCATTCCAGAGTAGGAGAGTTACAGAGAACAGAATCCAAGTCTGTTGGCTTTCAATGCAATATCATATTCACTTGACGTGTTATCTCCTGAAGGCAAAAATTCTTCTGATGGGTCCACCAAGACCAAAATCAAACTCATGGGATTGCGGAAGCACAGGGCAGTACCCTCTCCTCTAAAGCAGATTGCCTTCTGTACGGCAGAAAAAAAAAAGACTTTCAGGATTTTTCTATTCAAGCACAGGAAGATCTCCGAGTTACCAAGTTTTTCTTACAAACATGTTATCTGTGCGTCTTTGTATCCCACATAAAAGAATGCACCTCTTCAATAAAAGGTAAATAACAGGAAGAGTAAAGAGTAAACTGTATGGAGCCCTGAGAATAAGGCTTTTATGGGATTTGTAGTAGCAAAGTGTTTTCATACATTTGTGCTCCAGGCAATTTCACTTCTAGAGTTGGTTCTGAATTACAAAGACTGTACTGAGATCTGCACTTCCATTCTGCACGGTGCAGGTTTGGCTGTCGGTTTTAGATCCTTTTCTGCTGCATCTCAATTAAAACCTTCATGTGACAGTGCCTGTGCCTGGACACCCCAGCACTCTGTGTATGATGCAGGGGAGTCATCCTTAATGCTGAATTCAAAGAGATCCCAACTGCAGGCATCTCTTTCTTCTGACAGAAGAATAACTGGAAGTATCACCTGGGTTTGCTGCCTTCTATGATCCTGAAGATTTGAGCAATATTGTACGTTAGGAGTGAGTATAACATGCCAAATTAGCTTAATTATCCCAAGTAATCACATACTCCATCACGAACCAGATGTGCATACTCTGCTTTCCACTCTTCACAACAAAGGTACAGACCTTCAGTTTCCACTTAAATTTAACGAAATCTTTCACATGAACATGTTTTCAGTAGTATCAGTGCTGGGTGACTCCACTGGATACCTGCAAAAATCTCATCCATTATTTTTAATGTAAGGCTTTATTCAGACTGACTGTGTCTCATGCAAGTTCTTGAGCCTGTCTGAATACGGTCCTAATACCTAAATAGAACCTTGAAAAGGAACCAGAGGCACTAAATCTACTTGTGTTCCCTTCACCTTCAGGAGAATTCTATTTGCCTGTTAAAGGAGAATAACTGCAATGGCAGAAGAGTTCGATCCATTTGCTTGGAAACGTAACAATATATCTTAACTGGCACCAGTAACCGAGACCTTGTCCTGCCAGTTTTACTGCATGGTCAGGTCAGTGAATGGGCTGAACAAATGGGGCCCTGCTCAAACCCATGGGTTCCAGGCACACTGTTGGAAATTGCACTACCATCAGCTAGAGTAAAGGAGGGAACAACATCTCCCTGTGTGGAAGAGTGAGACGACTGCATTTTACAATTTATTTCACAACGTATGTGATTTATGAACCAGGGGTGGAAACAAGCTGTTGTCTCCAGCATGGAATATCCATCAGACATGGACTCTGTAGATGAATAAGAAGCTGGACAGAGGAAATATGAACAAGAAATTTGTGATAAGTATCTTCTCAGTGGAACGTTACCAGAGTCTTAAATCATTGCACAAAGCACTTGTGACAGAAAAGAAGCAAACTGTGTGAAACCAGGTGTGCAAGTCTGATTAATCTCTTTTGGCTGAAGTTCTTCATGCTCAAGAGAATAATGAGCAATTTTGCAAGATGCTGGTTCCCAGCAGGATTGTGACCACTCAGCACTGTGCATGGTTAAGTAATAACTGTGCCAGAATTGATGAAAGAGATGTTATACATCAACCTTTCCACTGCTGATGACAATAAATTACTTAGTTGTGGATGCCACAGCATTTGCTGCACATCAGACATTTGACAAGCAGGTCAGCTCATTAAAATCCTCAAATTCTGCCCCAGCACAACCACTAGAGAAAGAGGGCATACCTGGGAATCCTGGCCTTGTGGCAGAGCTGGCTGTGGTTGCTATCCTGTCAGTGACAGAAATGCTCCTTCTGGACTCCTTGTGATGCTCAACAGGAGCCACTGTTGTACCCTTACAGCAAGGAGGGCCAACAGCCTCCTGGGTTGTATGAATAGAAGCATAGCTAGGAAAATGAAGAATTATTTCCCTTTTATTTAGCAGTTCTTAGACTGTATCCAGATTACTGTGTCAAGCTTAGGAAAGACATCAAAACCCCAGAACGAGCTGAGCAGAAGGTCACTGCACCTGAGCTACGAGGAGAAGCCAAGGGACTTGGGTTTCTTCAGCTTGGAGAAAAGATAGCTTATGGAGGTAAAAGCTTACAGCAGCCCGCCGGTACCTTTGAGAAGGTTATCAGTAAGGTGGAGCCAGGCTTCACAATGGTGCACGGTGGGAGGAGGAGAGACAGTGGGCAAAAGCTGAAACAAAGGAGGTTTAAGACTGGATTATAAGGAAACTGTTTTTCCCCATGAAAAGACCCAAAGAGTGGAACAGATCTGCCCAGACAGGTTGTGTAGCTGGCATCCTTTGAGGTTTTCAAGACCCAGCTGGAAAAAGCCCTGAACAACCTGGTCTGATCTTACAGCTGGCCCTGCTTTGAGCAGGAAGATAGACTTGCTGAGGTTCCTTCACACCTGTATGACCTCATACGGTGACCTTTACTGTACTATATACAAGTAATACAACTTGTCATAAAGTTAACGAGTAACTCTAAATTCCACCCAAGTCGTTAATTCTGTGAAGTAGTGTGCCCCCCCCGCCAAAATTAAAAAATTTAAAAAAAAAAAAAAAAGGCACACCCCAGCGTGACCTGTTGAGGGAGCTCCACAGTAGAAATGATGTGCCTGATACTTGCTGGTAGCATTTGGACAAGCGCTTTTACATTCTCAGGTCTTCTCTCCGAATACCACTTGTGCCTGAACAGCTGGAGTCTCTTTAGTCTCTCTTCTTATTTCAATGAATTTTTGAACAGATTCATAATGACAAGTTAAAAACTGTTCTCAAAGATTTGCCATGTATCTCCTGCTGACTACAGCACTATCTGCAGCCATGTCTTCAGGGAAGATTTGAGAGAAATTCTTCGCTGTTCTTCTGCAGCACATATGCATCCAAGGTTCAAGTTGAATTTGGAGAACACAAGCAAAAGATACTTAGCCTGAAGGTTGAAAAGTACAGCTCTGCATGAATACCCATGCAGAGCCTTGAAGAGGGTTTCAAAGACAAGGTTTCCTGATGCCTGCATGTGCTAGGTACTCTCCTCCAGGTAGCAGCATGCCGAGGAAATATGGAAAGAGCAACTGCATCTGGGTCCAACTTCCCATGAGAACCTCGGGGTGCTGGTGAAGGACAGTTGCTTTTGCTCTGCTGCTTCTCCCTCAAGCACACAGTGAAAAGAGAATTGTCCTTTGCCCCCACATGAATGTAACTTGTCTTCATGAACATAGCCTGCCAGAGCAGGCAGCAGGAGGTAACCTCACAGAGGAGGAAACTTGTGGATAATGTTTTGGGCTTAACTACAGAGAAGCCTTCTGAGACACATGTGACTGCTGCATTATGAATACTGCAGAGAATATTTATTGGATAAACTGTAGTTATAAATATTTTTATAGTGCTGTAACTAGCAACCAGTTGTGTTGTGTCAATGCAGCAGGACAACAGGCATCCATGTTCCCAAACCTCATCCTTGGCTTGTTTGCATTACCCGAAGTAACTTCTGGGAACTTGTAACATTTCCTACCCTGTTAAATGTTTGCCTCTAGTTATGAATTAGTTCTTACTCTACAGAGACATAACTAGAAAGCATAGTTTCAGAACTAAAAATATGCTATGCCTCTCCTCAAAATCTTGAATGAAGATAGCAGAAGAATGCAAAAACATTTTTCAAGGCTTAGACACAACAGCTGAGTGGCCAGATATGACCAAAGCTACACCCTACTGTCATATTAGGCTAAATTTGGGCTTTAATACACTCAGGTGTTACTGAGATCCCAGCTTAATGGCATGTATTTTATTCTCTGATGTTTTAGGGGACTTCATGGGTTACTGGAAATTCAGTTGTTTGAATGGAGAATATCTAATTATTTCAGAAAACATTATTTGTGCTGGTGAGAAGTAACAGCTTAATGAATCAAGATCAAAAGGAGCTTTACACCACCGGGGTGCGTTGTCTATCAAATCAGACATGACCAGTTTTCTTGTCAATTTTGGCCATTAGAGATTTTATGATAATCTGGGGACTACCCCCACAGTCCAATTAAATTTGGTCCCAGGTGATTCACTTCAGCTCCTCCTACATTTTCAATAAAAGGGGCTTCAAGTGCTGTCTTACATGCCTGGGTTCTGCATGTGGGTATTGGAGAATTAAAATGATGAAAGAAATTCTGTTCATGAACGTTGTCTTATAATCTAAAAAACAGTAGAAGGCTCACCAGGAAATGACTGGTCAAGGGGCAGTGAAATAATGGTATCAAAACAATTAAGGATCATGTTTTTCTCACAGTGTTGCCTGTCTTCCAGAGCTGTATGGGCACTTCCACACCCAGTGCTGGGATATGGATGTTCCCTGTGGAGGCAGCATCATCAAGAGCACGGGAGACAGCGTGAGGCAAAACATGGAGCATCTTCTGCAGCAGCAGTGGCACCACTCCCAGTGGCTGCTCTGTAGTCTGCTTTTGGCTCTGTCCCATTCCCGCAGCCTTGAGAAGAAGCATGCCAAGGTTGTGTGATTTATATTTACTAGAGGCAATCTCTCTTCCCATCACTTTTAAGAGGGATTTTTTTTTTTTTTTATTTTCATTCTTCTTAAAATTAAATGTGCTCTTACATGTTTATTTTAGGCCTGCTCTTTTACATGCATTTCTGATCAAGGGAAAGGCCGATCTTTGTCTTGGCACAGGCAGACAGATGTTTGAGATGGTTCACAAATTCTTTCAGAGGTGAGGAATGTTTCTTTTTTTAAACATACATATACATATAATTTCAGACAGAAGTTGAGGTGCTTCTGCATTCTTAGATGTGAACCTGAATTCCCAAGATCTCATCTCCCCTCACAGTCTTCTCAAGCAGAGCTGTCAGACCATTAAACCACCGTCACTCGCTATTAGCCATGCCCAGCATGTCTTAATTTGTCCTTCAACAAAATCTCCCAAAGTCTCACAAAAATCTTCAGCAGAAAAATGGGTATGCAACAAGAACAGAAAAATCTTCACCTCAAATTCCAGCCTTCAGGTTTTACTGTTTTCTCACACACAAGCTGAAGATGTCTCTGGCGTAATTAGTAAAAGAATAACATTAATTCTGCTTCTCACTGATGACGGTGCTTCATTAGGATTGATTACTCATTTCCAAAGATAATACAAGGCTAAAATAATTATCAGTGGAGAACACAAGGCACTGAACAACACATATATCCTTTAGACCACCAAAGTAAATGGACTCTTAAGAATAAGTTTAATTATTTATTTATAAGGTATGTATAAATGAGGCTTTCAGTTCCACCAGGAACTGTCAATTCAGTTAGGGCCCTCAATATCAGTTCTTTTTCCCTGAGGGCTCTGTATATGCACATACAAGAAGCTGTCTATATGCACATGCAAGAATTTATTTAGGACTGGATGAGAGACCACTAAAGGTCACCAAAGTAGAAGTCACAGTTCTGTCTCACCTTCAATGGAAAATTGTCACCATCAAGCAATTGACGTATGTAGATAGCTTGAACCT